CAGTGGATGGATGGATGGATGAATCAGTGGATGGATGGATGGATGATGGGAGAAAACAGATGATTAAATGTTGATGTATCTTTTTACCATCAGCTGATCAAAGCAGAGAGAAAACTGGAAGTCATTTACGGTAATTTGATCTTCTGAATAAACAAGGAGCCTTTAACTTATTTATTGGAGTCAGTCTGTGGTCGGGGGATTAAATAGTCATTTCTAGTTATTCTAGTTCTAGACCCTTACTGAAGGAAAATGACCCTGGAAGCAGACCTTATACCATCAGAGTGCATTAATAATTCATCATCTGATAGCTGACCTCCTCCAACCGGACCCGTTTCTCTCTATTAAACGCTTACAGTCACATCTTTAAAACGAATCACACATATGATTAAAGCCGGGTTTAAATTGGCTGCCATGAACTAAAGCTCAGCCTTGTTCACACGCATTAAATACAGTCATACGTCTTCCACGCGTCCGCCGTCCTCTGTGGGCAAACTGATAGCTGAGCTTTATTGCCCCCCATAAATCACACATTACGTTAGCATCGCAAAACGTGCCGCCTCAAGTACAAAATGATTGAAGTCCTGCGGACGCCGTGCATCTGTATTTCTGCGAGCTGTCTCTGTGCCGCCACAGCTGCCGGCCGCATCACGCAGAGTTAGAGATCACATGAATTAATTGCGAGATGAGGACCGGGTGACCCATTTTACAGCAGAGCTGTTGAACTTAGACACGCAGGCAGAGCTGGAAGAGCAACACTTCAAGTTCAAACCAGGATTTCACCTCAGAACACCCCGATCTGTAGATTAGTCTCACGTTTAAAACTGTTAAAAGAACAAAATACATCCTGACAGATTTATTTAAAACTTAGAAGTTTATTTCCAGAAAACCAACAGAGAATGCTTACTTTTGACTGATTACTAAATGTTTACAGGAAACCAGCTGTTAGAAACATCTGATCAGCGGAGAAATAGAGGATGAATTCCAGAAATCACACAACTGGTCAAATTAGCTGCTGTTGGGTTGAGGAGTCCAGATTAGGGTCACGACTTTTTGGCTTTTTTTTCCCAAAAACTATTACTTGTATCAGGAATGATTGAACTTTTGCCTATTAATGACTAAAATGTTAATACACCAGATGCGCTAAAAACACCTGAAACACTTTAAATTTGCTCTTGTGGGCGGCTGTGATTGTTTAAAATGCACTGGTGAAGATTCTCTGTCATCCATCATAGTCATTCCAAAAAAAGAAAATAAAAGTAAAATCAATCCTCTGGACTTTGTTTCCCAGTTTGAAGACGTTTCTCTTCCATCCAGGAAGCTTTTTCAATTCAAAATGTCAGAAATAGCGTTTAGTTCCAGGTTTTATCCAGCAGCCCAACAAAGCCTGGTTTTAGTTTAGAAAACATGCAAATAGAAACGGATGAACGGGTCCCCCCCTTTGGAATGGGGGTCGTTTGGCTTCTTTGTTAGCCTGCAATGTTACCTGTTACCTGTCTATGTCTCTGAAAGGGGGGTCGTTAGAGGGAATAGTTGGTCTGGGTGAATAGGCGAGATCCTCAGCTCTCCTGTCGCAGCCCCCGCCTCTGTACAGGAGAGGGGAGGACCTCGCCTATTCAACCAGACCAACTATTCCCTTTAACGACTCCCCGGGTCGTGGAGGTAGCAGTCTAAGCAGAGGTGACCAGACGAGCCTCCTCAGCTGGCTCCTTTCGATGTGGAGGAGCAGAGACTCTACTCTGAGCTCCTCACCCATCTGGAAGGGTGCGCCCAGCCACCCTGCGAAGGAAACTCATTTCGGCTGCTTGTATTTGTGATGTCATCATTTGGGTCATTACCCAGATCTCATGACCATAGGAGAGGGTGGGAACGTAGATCTGTCGGTAAATCGAGACCTTTGCCCCCCCGACTCAGCTCCCTCTTCACCACGACAGTCTGATACAGCGACCGTTAGGCTCAGATGGAGCGGGAGACTGATGGACAGGTCACTAGTTTATAAGCAGTTATAATGGGATAAATATGGGATATATAACAATAGATAGTATTTTAAGATAAGGAAAAGCAAATTAATGTGCTGAATGGCCTAGTCAAAGTTCAGACCTAAAGTCAAATGAGATTGCATAGCTAGATCTATAACCTTCTGCTTAAAGATGCTCTCCATCCATCTAACAGAGCAGAATGGGTGAAACTTTGAGGTGAGAAGAATTGATCCGACAGAAACTGACTTTATTTGCAACCAAACAGCTGGATGCAAATAGACACAATTTTTAGATTAATTCTGTAAAAATCGATGTTCTTTTCCCTCCACAGTTGTGTGTAACTTTGTGTTGGTTTATCTCATATTATCCCCCTCAAGCGCCTGATATCTAAAATCTCCCTGGAGATTTTCTTAGTTCTCCTCGTTGAAAGCTCCGAGGCTACACTCAAAAACATTTTTCCATTTTTCCTCATTTTTAGTATATCTGGAGCCTGAGATTTTTTCTGCTTTTTCTTAGATTTAAATCCTTCCAGTCTCTGTGTTTGTGGATTTTGCTCCGAATTGTTTGAGCGAATGAGGAGAGGAAAAAAAACGAGTGGGTAGAAATGAAGCTGCATTAGGGGATAAGAGGGTGAGGCATTGAGGGTGTGGTTGGAGTGAAGAGTGAGGGATGAAGAGGCGGAGGTGTGGGGGGGGGAAAGGTGTCAGAGGTGTGGTCCTGACCGGGGGGGAGGAGGAGGAGGAAGAAAAGAGGGTGAGGTGGAGTGATGGAAAGGTGAAGGGGCTGGGAGGGAAAGGAAAGGGAGTTGGTGGTGGGTGGAACGAGAGGAAAACATGGAGTCAGCTGATGGCTCTCAGTTTCCATGGAAACGCCTTTCCCACCCACTCCGTCTTCCTTTCTTCCTCTTGTTTCCTTCTCTCTTCCCTGCCTTGCTCCCTCCTTTCACCCCTGATTTGTTTTCAGGGTTTAGTTTCCATCTTTCTTCTCCTTTGACCTTCTTATAATCAGCTTCCTGTTTCTTTTGCTTAATAAAATCCTCTTTTTCTTTCTTTTTGTTTCCTGCTTATTTGCCAAGTTTTGTACCATTTTGGTATCGTCTCCTTTCCTTTCCTGAACTGAGTTAAGAAAAAAATGAAATATGAGTTAAAGTCGTATTTCCTTTTTCCACATTTCCTATTTTTTCCATTTCTTTCCTCTTTTATATTTCCTCCATGCTTCCTATCCTCTCCTTGCCCTTATTTCCTTTATCCTTCCTTATTTTCTTCTCTTACCTTTCCTCTGTCCTTTCTATCTATCTAATTATTTCACCCCTCATTTCCTTTTCTCCTGTGAGCTCTTGGTTTGCTCTTTATTTTCCTTCCCTGTCATCCCTCCATCCTCTCCCGGCTTCCCTCTCCTCTCCTTTATGTTCCTTCTTGCTCAGCTGCTCTATAGAGAAATCACACAGTAGCCGACACAAACAAAAGGTTATTAGCACTTTTAAATCAATATTCATATATAATGTGTTGGAACCAACCGATGCAAAGATCCATTTAAACAACATTAAGCTGCAGCAAACAAGCACATGAAGTTTAACATAAAAACAAATAATTTCCTAATTAGAATACAGTTATTTGCATATATATACAGGTAGATGGTGGATGTATATATATTTAATATCCATCTTAGTAAAGGCAGCTTCCAGCTGAACTGTCTGACCTGATAAAGGGTGCAGCAGAGCCTCCTCCCTCTCCTCCTTGCCCAGAGCCAAACTACACTCAGCTGAACTGGATGGAGGCCAATTCCTGGACTGGAGGCTCACTGCTGTTCCCTCTTCCACTATACCCCCCCCTCTCTCTCTTTCAGCCTGTACCAGTCTCTCTCCATACCCATGCAACCCTTCTGTCTCTGTCCGTCTCACTTTCTCATCCACCTCCCCCTCTTCCCAGCGTTCCACACAGCAGCCATTGTTCGCTGTACTTTGGGGCTGCATAGCAGCTGAGCCCTGGGTGGCTGGATTGGAGAATTGGTGCGCCGTTCCTTTAAGGAGGCTCAGGAAACTAGGACTAGTTGGGAAAGCAGCAGATCCTCAATGCCAGCATTCCAGCTTCTACTCCAACACACTCTAACATAAAAACAGCTGAATTACTGAGCTGTTTTGCCCTTCTGCTGACTTATTTCTGCACCGTTTGGAATTGTCTAAACATTTTTCACTATAAATATCTCAAATATTTAGAAATACCTCTATTGTGATTCTTAATAAAATGAACCACTATGTTATTTAACCTTTTTTGGAGTAATATTTGGTTATTAAAGCTTTAATGGTTTAGTTCTTAGCTTAGCAGTCCTGTTTTGTTTGCAGTATATTAGTATATTATCTCTGGAATTAATAATCTGAAATCATCTTTCACTGATTTCCTGATTACTAACAGAAATAATCATCATCTTTGAAATAGATCTTAAACTTTATGCTCCAATTAGTTCTATGGTTGAAACAAGCTTGTTTCTTCTAAGGTCACTTCTAAGGCAGTTATTAACATTTTATTTTTATTTATGGCTTATCTCATGGTGAAATTTAAAGGCATTTTTTGCAATTTATCAAATTAAATAAATATGTTTTCTTGAAAGAGGGAAATAAAAGTAAAAATATTGTTTTAAGTCAATTAAAAAAAGAAGAAAATTCCTTTTTTCATAATTCAAATGTACCTTAACGAATGTATTTTATATGCAACCATCGTCCATATTATGCAGCATATTTCATGTTTTTCCATGTTTTTCCCAAACAGGCCGATGTAGGTGATGACTGCTCCGAACCGACGGACCTGAAGATGAAGTCAGAATTTAAGGCGGAGCCGTCTTCTCCTCACTCCAGTCCCGCTGAGGACCAGACCGAACCCGTCGACCTGTCGCTCAACAAGCCCCGCTCTGCTTCCACGACGAGCGCCACAGTCAACCCGGCGCCCTGCAGCACCGTGTCGCAGCCGGGCCTCTCGGCCACGCCTGTTCCCTCCTCGGTACAATCCATAGGCTCCATGGTAACCACAAACCCCTGCTTCCTCCTCCTTCTTTTACAATAAAAACGCACACAGGGAACAGCTGTTCACGGGGTCATGCTCTCCCTCCAGGTCCTCTCTCCAGGTTCTATCCTGGCCACACAGGGAGCCGGAGGACAGCAGATTCTCCATGTCATCCATACCATCCCCTCAGTCAGCATGCCCAGCAAAGTGGGCCAACTGCAGACCATCCCGGTGGTGGTGCAGTCGCTGCCTGTCGTCTACACCGCCATGCCCACGGACAGCGTCGCCACAGCAGCCATCACAGTGCCGCTGATAGGCAGTGACGGGCGCTCAGAGGGATCAGGTGAGTGCGCAGAGAAACTGGCGCCATAGATATTCCTGAAGCATCTTCTTTATCCTGCAGGAGAAGATGTTGCTCTTTAGAAACTATAGTCAATAGTCTCAGCTTGATCAATATGCTGAGCTGAGTTAAAGATGGTTTCAAAACAACTAGATTTCCTCTCATGCTCTCTGAACTGTTTGAAGGTGAGATATCAATGAAATTCTATTCAGTGTATTTCTATAGCTCCAATTCACATCATGTCATCTCAGGTCACTTTCCAGTTCACCAGATCATCCAGTCAGATTAATTCAAAGTTTTCTATCTAAGGAAAACCAGCTGATTGCATCGACTCATTGACTCTTCAGCAATCCCCCACACTAAGCCTGCTTGTAGCGACAGTGGAGAGGAAAAACTCCCTTTGAACAGGAAGAAACCTCCAGCAGAACCAGGCTCAGTGTGAGCGGCCATCTGCTGAGGCCCACTGGGGTTCAAGGAGACAGAAGCAGACATAGAAAAAGAAGCATAGATACAAAAGGCAACTGTCAACCAGCTCCACAGGCGGCCCCGTCCAGGAAACACACAGCCAGGCAGACGAGCTCCGAGCCAGCTCCCATGTCAGAGGATGAAGAGAGCACATCCAGTTAGTCACAGTCAGAGAAACAGGACTACACTGGAAAACAGGCCAAGCTCCAACATCTAGAAACAAAGGAAGAAAGTTCAGAGATAGTTTATTTTTTTCTTTGGCTTTATGTAGCATAGAGTTAATGCTGCATCCTCTCTGTTATTTTGGACTTGTGGACAGCTGGCTTAAAAAAAAACAACATATTCCTGGCTAATACTCTTAACAGTTCAACTATTCTGAAGTCTCTTATAGCAAAAAAAGACAAACAGGTGTTGAAACTAAAGGCGCACCTTCCATCACTATTTTTAAGGTGATATTGTTTAAAAGCTGTTGGTGGTTAATTCAGTTCTATTCAGTTCATTTCTATAGTGCCAATTTACAACACATGTCATCTGAGGTCACTTTCCAGTTCACCAGATCATTTATGGTTAATCAATCAGCTACAGCAGCCGTTAGCCTGACTAACGAACCTGCTAATACCTGCTTACAGAACAGACCTGCAGAAACGTTTGATATTATTTTCTATTAAAAAAAACTTCCTGTCAGACTTTAATTATTTGGGGGAATTTTAGTCCAAATAAAAGGCCTGTGTCTTTAAAAGAAAGAAAAAAAAAAGCTTTAAAGGCAGTATTATAAATGTGACAACTGAGCAGAAATAATAAGTGCTTTAGAGTTTAAAATGATTTGATGCATACTTTTATTGAATATCTTTACTTCTTAGTCTAGTTCCTTATGTTGATTAAACTAAAGCCTATAAATGCTGATCTCCACCTTGGGTTTAATCCACTCCTAAAGTTTATTATTATGCAAAGCTAAACGGCTACAAATCAAGGCTTATATCCCCACAGCTAAAAAGCTCAAGTTAAATCTGGTTTAAAGGTTGAATGCACTAAACTCATGACGGTAGTGGCAATAGCTGTGGTGTGTAGAAAGGATAAAAAGGACAAGATAAGCAAACAGGAAACCAGTAGTCTGAGTGTGCAGCCATATTGATCCTCCATTTATTCCATCTTTAGCAAGTTATATCTTCTAACAATTGACCGAGTAGAGCACTGACAAAAATGAAATCAGAAAGTTTTTTTTATTTTCTTAAAACCGGCTGAATGTGTGGATCTAATAGGGAGTTTTAAGCGTCTCTGGATCATTTCCTGCAGTTACGGCAGATTTAAAATCAGTCATCGCCTGAAACCGACTGTTAAAACATGCATCCAACTTAAAATAAGTCAAACTATTCTGATGTCGGCATAAAATCATCGGTCAGCTCTGCTGATTCCCACCAAGCTGAACCAGAAGGAGCTTGAATGAAGCGTCGTCCATCCCTGAGTAAACTCTGAGGCGGGACGCGCCTCCTCTCCTTTAAGTGCAGTAAAAGTCCCTGTTTGCGTTCGCCTGGTTTCTAATTCAAACCAGCATGGCCTGGACTCAGGAATGTAAACGTTTGAGGCAGTCGCTCTGGAAAACATCCACAGGACTGCAGCCTGAAGATGCTCTCAGACTGTTTGTCCTCAGCAGTGTGTGACGTTCAGTACATGCCAGGGGCTGCAGCCTTCTGATTTATCATCAGCCTTCTTTATTTTTACATCCATGTCTCAAACAAGCTCTCTTACTTCCCCTCTCTTCCCAGCAGCCACTTCTAAAAATGTCAGGTCAGGATTTTTAAAGTGGTGAAAACGGTTTCAACCGTGAGAAAAGTCGAGCTTCTGTTTGCAGCTTGTTTGTGTGGAAACCATTCATGCACCATTAGTTAGGATTGCTTAGCAGGAATAAGAAACTGTAAAACATTACAATTTAGCAAATAGCTATTATAATAAATCAGTAAAAAGTTTAGTTTTGCAGGAGAGCTCTCTTTGCAAAGCATTCTGGGATATATCTGCTCTTCTAGTGACCATGGATGATCACTAGAAGAATTTATAAATTACCGCATGTTGTCCAGCGACAGTGTCTAACTTCACTTGCTCCTCTTCTCCTGTTAATACGGTAAAGCCCTGGGGAGCGTCCGGCTCCAGGCTGCACGTGATCCAAATGAGCCAATGAGCTGTCAGTCTGGGTTGCTGCTGCTGCTACTTTTAGACACAGCAGGCAAACCTGTGGCAAGCCGGGCGATGGGAAAGAAGGAGAAGACCATGAGAAAAAGAGAGCAGAGAAAGTGTGGACTGCTGGAAGAACTGCGGTGAACTGGTGAAAGAAAAGTGAAATGGCGTGCTCAAAGATGACCCTGCACATTTAGAGGATGTTTGGCTCAACCTGCTGCTGTGAAGCAGGATTCTCCACCATGAACAGAATCAACAATAAATCTGGATCCAGGCTCAAAATGAGCTCCTTGATATGTGCTTGAGAATGGCTTAGTCTCTGGTTAAACCCAGGTTTAAAGCCTTGCAGGGCAGCCTAAAGCCCACTGCCAACATTAAGACAGAAAAAAGAAAGAAAAACGGTCAGTTCAGGGGTTTTATAAAAAAAAAAGTAAGTCAGGAAATTGTCTTTAAAAACTGAACGATTGTTGTTTTCTACTCAAAAAAACAATTTAGATTTTAAAATGGATGAATTTTTTTTTTCATATTGTTTTATTTAAAAATTCAATGCATAACATGGATGCATAAAAACCAAACCATATTTCAGTGTTAAATTCTGTTTAAAGTAACAGATTATAATAAAAATGTCTTTGGACCTTTACTGGTTGATTTTTAATTGGTGACCCCTGAACTAGACATTTGGACAATCATCTAAAATGGCATAGCCACTATTTAGCGCCATGTGAGGTGATCAGGGCGGACATTCGGACACAGACGTACACTGTCCTCCACTTTCCAGGTGAGCAGGAAGTTGGGCTGTGAAATCTGTTGAGATTGGCCAATAGGAGCACAGATCCACCCATGACTCATCGTTCACATCCAGAGAAGGATCCTGAACCTGGAGCAAAGAATGTCAGAGAGAGAAATTTATCTCTGAGACAAAATATTTTCCCTCTGATTGGAAAAAAGAAAATTGAGAGCAAAAATATACTTTAGAGAGTTTTTTTCCCCTTGGAAACCATTTTCCAAAAAATGTATTTATTTTTTTGATTATTTGATGACAAAGTGTTTTCTCTCAAAACTTTTTCTTTATTCTCAAAAACATGGGTTTTTTTTGCAATAACTGGGAAAGTTTTTTCTCTCCATTATTTTCATTTTACTTGCAAAATCTTCACATCAAGAGAAAAAATAGAGCAAAAAAAAAGTTTAGAGAAATGTATTTTTGATAGAAAATGTTTTCACTCTGGCTGCAAAAAATGTAATTTGAGAATAAAAATATATATTTTTTTTCCCTTTAAAAATAATTTTCCAAATATCTATTTATCTTTTAGAAATTATTTTCTCTCAAAACTTTTTTCAGTCTCGCCAAACTTTTTTTTTTTTGCCATCAGTGTGAAAGTTTCCTCACATGGTGGAATAAAACGCTTTGCAGTGGAGCCGATCAGGCCAGGTGGATTCAGGCTTTGTTTTCTTGGAAGCTCTGGAGGTAAAAACTGGAGTGGAAAGATAAAACTTTCTGTTCGGCCTTCTGGGGCTGCAAGCTGGAGGCAGATGACGTTTCGTGCGCCGCGGCGGTGTGTGGGAGGCAGGGGAGATTTAAAGCTCAGTGGGAAGGTGGAGGGGGAGAGAGGGAGAGAGGGAGAGAGGGAGCGGGCTCCATGATGATGTGGAGTCGGGAGGGTCCGGCAGGAAGGATGTGGAGGAGAGGGGAGCGGCTCGGGGGGGTTGGAAGGGAGACAAGATGGGTTGTTTTCCTTTGAAAAAGAAAAGCTGCAGCAACCGCAGGGCTGGGGGGAGCAAGATGGTCTTTAGAGACAAAAAGTGAGGATTCTCTGGGTAGGCGACCCTCCCCATGTATGCATATATATACTCCACCCAAATTCCTTGAATCACCCTCAAACTTCCCCAACCCTCACTGCTCTGTTCAGGCCGACTGGCCTTTGAACCGCTGGGCTTCCACATTCCTGCAGATAGCAGTCGGGGGGGTGGGGGACACTTTTGTCTCAAGCAGCGTATTAGCAGACCACATGCTAACAGAAATAGGCTTCTTTTTTATATCTTGGTATTAATGTATTTAGTCTTTGAAAGAAATAAACACCTTTTTTTTGTAAAACATTAAAAACTGTTAAATGTTCCAGCCTGATAGGACTGTCTCCATGACGACCCAATGTTAATGACCTAATTCAGGATAACTCTTGGTCAGATGTGGGACCCAGTGGGTCCAGGATGTTTAACACAGAGCCTTAAAAACCTACATAAGAAATGTCATTGAAAGCATCGTTGGTAATATTGGTTTCATTTGTTGCATTTTAATGAGTCTCATACAAAGACCCTGACTGTAACTGAGCCCCATGAACCAGTATGCATCATAAAGACACAGATTCTCCTTAAGCCAGGCGTACACCGTGCCATATTTTCAATCGCTGACCACGGCTACAGCTCACGATGTTTGTTCAGCCCGACGCTCTGATGCGATCTACCTGCTCACACCGTACGTCTAAAAACTCACGCTCCGCAGAGAGATGGCGCTACTCGGACTCGTCTATCCGGAAGCCAAACGAGTAGAAGTAGAAGCCCTAAAAAGAAAAGGAGACGACGCATTTGGATAAAGACATGGCTGAGCTAACATGGCTACTACAGTCTGTCAGTTTTACAGACAGAACTCCATTTCACTCATTGCCCCCCCGCCATGCTGCTGGGTTTACATCTGAGAGGAAGAAGAAGAAGAATCCTTGTTTGCCCACTGAGCGATTTGCCCACGATCACCTTACGACGGCCGACTGAATTTCAAATTTTAGATTTTCTCCCGACCTTATGATTCCTGATGGGGAGGTGGTCGTTAGAGGCTGATCGCCCCTCGTTACCGCCTGTACGCTACACCACGCACCATCAGGATGAAAGTCGGCCCGATTGGAAAATTCTCTCGACTGGAGAATCGTCCCGAAAAGGGCAAAAAACATCTTACCGCGTACGCCCGACTTTAAATATTTATTGTGGAGGATTTTTGTGAATTTTTTAAAAGACCCTCCCTCTCCACTTTATAAAAAAAAAAGCACAACCCTGTACCTGCGCCAGAGAGCGAACACCTATTAAACATGTGCAAGAGCGTGCACAAGTCCATATCTCCTCGTGCACGCTCTGTTTAAAAGTTGCTGTTCTCATACTAGCTCACTGAGTCTGACCGTCCGCCCTAACCCCTAAATCCCTTCATCACTATATAGAGCGGGGAATATATAGTGAACTCAGTTAACTGACCGTTCAGAAAGATGATCATTGCTTTTCAGTCTGCTGGTCACGTAACTCCTCCTCCACCGCGCCGTGCCTGCTCCATCTTCGTTATTAGTCGC